TTACTTTGTTTTAATGGAGTTAGGGAACAATGTTAAGTTTGTGCTCTGAGATTGTCATGTACAGAAGCTTGTTCAAAGCCATTCATAAAACAGAGTGATATTTTAAATGTTTCCTGAAGACAACATATAGTAAATATTTGTTAGTAAATAAATAGTTTGGTTAATAAACATAATATAACTATCTTTTTCCTTGTATATTTTTGAACAGCTGGTGGCCTGAAGTGCTGTGATATTTTAACCAGGAGATGGCGCCTTTGCTCATCTCTCCTCTGTCTGATCCTGCAGATGGCAAACTAGAAGAAATAGAAGAAGCATCTTTATCGCCTCTGAAGAGCCCTGATTGTGTCAAGCCACAATTATCTGAGGCAATCTCCTTATTGGACTAGCACACATTAAAGCTATTAGATGCCGAAGCCTCTCAGTTATATCGCCACATGAAAGCCACATCACGGTCCATGAAGTCTAATAGTTCTGTTTTATTCTCACATTTCATATTGAAGTGCTCTCTGTTGCTGAGCTAAGACCATACAACCATGTCTGTCTCCTACATGCAACAAGCAGAAATATCATTAATATTATTTTCTTGTGTATGTTCATGTGACTTCCATCACACTGAATGCAAATTATTAGAGATAAAAAAAAATACAATAAAAATAAAACAGGTTCCAATAGTGTTTAGGTGCTGTTCCATAAGATGCAAATATGGTAAAATAAATAAATATATGAAACTGAGACATATACTACTGAGCAGTACAGGTATTTCAATTCTTCCAATAACCCATCAAACACCACAAGGATCCATCTGTCCGTCCATCCATCTCTCAGTCCATCCGTTTAGTTTTTGTATTTGTTTATATGGACTATTTTAAAATATATATATATATTTAGAGAATATTTGTAATATTATATAAGTTGTATATATTTGCAAATTTGCTATTTTGCTGCTGCAACAAGCATATTTCAATTTGGAGGAACATGTGACCCCCGTGGCCCAAAAATAGGAGAAGCCAGTAAACGACAATGGATGGATGGATGAATGTGAAATACTGTAATACTAATAATACAAACAGGGTAAAATGCAGTGATTGGGGGGAAATGCAATGATGACTTCAAAATAAATGGACTAGCTTCATTAAATTTGCATTTAGTTTTCAGCCAAGTTGAGCTGAAACAGCTTAAAAGTGTCTCATGAACTCCTTTGAACTTTTTTCCATATTCTATCACCAGTGAAATGGTTTATGCTGTTTAATGCCCCAAGCTAATATTCTAGTGCACTTTAATCCCACCATCTTGATTTATGTGACTCCATTATGCTTCTGTCCTGCAGGATGATGGCTTTGCTGAGTCACTGCAGCTGGCAACATCAGCACCCAGCTCAAGTCCTTGGACAAACTCCTCAGCTCCTGTGTGGTAGAGAGAAATGACAGCCTGCACTAAAAAAAAATAAAAAAATAAATCATAGCTGTAGATACTTTAGTTATATTGCACTTTTAATAATTACAGACTTACATTTTTAATTAAGTTTTATCTGCAGAGCATGAGCACAGAGGATAATTGCTTTTTTAAAATGTATTTATTTGTTCTACCTTATCCATATTCATTAGGCAAAGACCCAACACTGCAGGCTATTTTGGAATTATTTGTTTTATGACTTGTTTATAACAAGTACGAGGTAAAACACATAAAAAATAACCTTAAAGACCCATGCAAATTTAGCAAATTCTCATGTGAATAAATAACCAACAGCATTTTCGATGCCTAGTTGTTATTTGTTAAAATAATGCTCCTACGGCGTTGTACTCCTCTTACAATTAAACATTCGGTAAGTGAGGGTGTTTGTTGTTCCTTTATCAAATCAGCAGCCAAACTCATCTGCTAAATGTTTTCTGAGTGATTTGACGAGGACACACTCTTGACCTCAGGGAGCACCTCTTAGTGTTAGCATGGCCATGTTTGGAACATTTATCTGCCTGTTGCTATAGAAACCAATCCTCTAAATAGCTGTAACCATGGAAACATTTTTTTTGTCTGTATCATACAAAGACTACAAGGCAATAGACTGTTTTCTCTGTTTGCAGACACTCCTTTTTAAAATACATCATTCTTCAAACTTTGAATAGATGATAAAAGACTAAACTGGAGTGGAGAAGATCTGTATTGGCATATTTTAAAAACAGCAACAGTGATTTTTTTTTTTTTCATTTAATTTTTTTAGCAACAATAAATATTTTTTTAAAGTTACAAATGACCAAAGAGTTAATAATATATGCTGCTTCATCGTAAAGTACACATGGACATTGTAAGTTTGATTAAACAAAATTAGGCATTTGACTATATGTTCTTTGAAAACATGCAGCCCATTGTGGCTGATGTGCCTCTAATTTATTTATTTATGTTTCTGACTAATTTACTGACTGGGATACAATGCATGCACTCAGCCACTCTATTTAATTATTGAGCGTCTGGTAGCATCCTTTCATATGAGACATCTGTGACCAGGCTTTCACTGAGAGAAGAATGAGCTTTGCGGCTCACTCCTGTCATAACTGCAGAGACTGATCCTTCCTGACTGCTTGTTAGTCCACAAAAAAAAAAAAAAAGTGTTATGTGAACATGTGTGATAAAGGGAGCTGAGATTGTTTGAATTCTTGACTTTTTCAGATACTCAGTTTTCCGCCTATTGATTTATTTTTTACTAATTTGGATTGACACAATTGCAGTTTAAATAATAAAGCACTATTTTTAAAGTAGGTATAATTATATCTAGTCAATACATACGTTTTTCCATAAAATTATTAAAAAACATTGTATCTAATATGTTGAGATCAGATATTGCTTTGCATAATTTAACACACACTTGTCATTAAAACAAAACAAAACAAAAAAACAACCAAGACAAAAAAATATATAAATAAATATAAATCAAAGATGCTTTAAAGAAAGAAGAGTTTATTAGTGATTTTTCAAACCAAACACATTATCACTGTATCCATATAGGTAAAATCAAAAGTCAGAAAAATAAATGAAATAAACAAAATTCACTACTTCACTGTCACGGTTGATGAGAAGGTGTACAAAAAAAGATTTCACAATAGATCTCTGCTGACCCATTTTGGTCAGCGCATTGCCACCATAGTTCACCACCACACACTGGGAAAGAATGACAGCATGAACGCTCACTAAACACAAGCATACACTAACATTTACATATTTTTTTTGTTTGTTTTTTATCATTTTTTATTTTAACATACATATTTTGTTTCTATTTTGATGAGTGAAAGGGAAGTGATAGCTCTTCATAAGATCATACAGAATTCAGTTACAATAATAGTGTTTGATCGTCATGTCAAAGCCAGACACAATGTTCTTTTTTTTTTTCTTGCTTTGCTTGTTCTTAAAAGCAGAATCCTTGTTGGTAAAAGAGATAAAATAAAAGCTTGCACTGAAAGGTATCACTATATCATTTACAAATACCTAGCGAAGGTTAGTAGATGCCATAAAACATCTGTGGGGCGTGAAGATTGTTGTACATAGATGCTTGGCAGAGACAGACATACAGACAGATATTTCCTGTGTGGATAATGAAGAGAAATTATAATACAAAATAATAAAATCATAGCAATCTATCAATCTATATATATATTTCTTTATATAGTATGTGTTTCCTTAGAGCATTACATGCAGCAGCCACCTAATGGAGTGACGTCATACTGAGCTGAAAAAGGTTTTGGACGTGGCAACAAGTTACAGGCAAAAGGAGGGGAACCAACACAAGCAGGTCTTGAGGGGTGTGTATTTTCAAAACCGTCTGTGTGTAGGGATTTGCAGGGTAAAGCTCTGAGATTAAATCCCTAGATGCCCATAATTTCTCAAGTTTATGTTACTACTGTTGAGACAATATATGTACATAGAAGCTAATTTTGTGATTCAGTGCTCCTACACAATCAAGTCGATGAAACTTTCTTCTAACGTACATGAAGAGGAAGGGTCAGCCGTTCCTCGTTTCTTCACCGTCCCTGTAATCAGCCTCGTTCCACTTGTTCCCCTCTCGTCAGTGTCAAGAAACAGGAAATGAACAGCACACGGTGGTATTCACAAGGTAAAAGCACTGAACCGTTTTGTACTTGAGAAAGATCTGATAGAGATTCAGGGTGCAGACCCCTAGGCCTCGTCCACATTACTCCATGCTGTTCTGAGCACACCACAATGTTCTGAGCAGGCCATCTTCAGGGGCTGATCCCAAAGGGGGGGGGGGGGGGGGATGTCAGAGCAGGGCTTATAAGGAAAGAGTCAAAAATCAAGCTGTAAAGCATAAACAAGTTAAAGCTATGAGAATACAACGAGACAAAACATAAGAATGAATCTCTTTAGACAAATTCATGAAAACAAAATGTCACATGAGTCAACCAGAGGGATGGGTAACAAGAAAAAAAAAGTGATTTGGGTAAAATTCAGATTGTGGCAACTTGGAGCAAGTACAAGCAGGTGATCATTTGTAAACTCAAGGTATCAGGTAAGGATTGGTTGCTACCAAACATTCAAAGTAGAAAGCATCAGGCTTTTTTTTTCCCTGCATCAGGAGGAGAAGAAAAGGTGATATTACCATTCTTTACCATTTCGTGAGAGTCCACTAACTCAATGCCGAGTCTCCAGCCAGCTCAGCTGGACTCCACCCTCTGATATTTGGGAAAATGTGAGGCATTTTCCTTTTATTTTTCTTATTCCCAAGTGGTCTCTTCTCATCCGATGTTCTGACAGGAGATGAAGCTCTTTGTTGTTTTAATGCAGTGAGCAAATACAGAGGGACTGCAGAAGAATCTGCTTCCATCCCGAGAGAGCTGACACACATTTGCACATAAGAGGTGACTGTGCAGGGCAAAGAGCTTGCAGTGTCCAGTTTAGGCACATTTCTTTTAGTCAATTCTCCCTCCTTTGTTAGGTCTCAAGTGCTTTCAGTGTCCACTGTATGATGGGTTATGAGTTGGTGTTTCAGTGTGTGTGTGCATGTGTTTCAATGCAATTTCAGGGAACACTGTTGGTAATTACCTGGGATTCTGCAGCAGTGTCATTAAGCCTTGGTTTCGGTGACTCCTGTCTGTGCTATTTACAAGTAGAACGTGTCCAGCTGCAGACTGCATGCATCTGTGTCAGTCTTCTTCGTGTTTCTTCTTTTCCTATTTGCTGGCACAGTTCGTTTTGTTCCAAAATATTGTATGCCTCGATGAGAGGATGCTTTACACATTAGAGTGGGGGTAATACAGAGGTGCCAACATGCCCAGTGGGTTAAAAGAGAAACGAGTCATCACAAGGGCAAAGAGTGGAACTTTATTTTTCTAAATAATGACATGAGTTGGCTCGGGGTGCATAGGCACATGGGGCATGGAGAGAAATAAACAATCATTATATTGTTTGTTGTATCATTACTTGTATAAAGGCAAGATGAAGGTAAACTAATTATTGGTATAACCCGGATCAAGAGTAAAAGCTTTAAATTGTTAGTGATTATAGGTAGTAAAGTAATATATTCTCTTTTTGCCCAGTGAACTTTGGTTGGTACCTCTGTTTTAGCAACGCCCTTTTCTTCTTTGCTATTCTCTTTTTTTTTTTTTTCATTTCTTCCTGCTTTACTCATCACCATCATCCTTCCCTTTATCCTTTTTGTCTTTCTTCTCTTTCTCCTTCTTCTTCTTCTTCTTCTTCTTGGCCTCTTCTTTCTTGCCGAAGGTGATGAAGTCACTCTTGTCGTCCTCTCCTCCCTGGTTCTGTCTGATAGATATTATGGCGGGTGAGCCGGGAATGATGAAAGCTTCTGGAGGAACCTCACCGGGCTTCAGGTGTTGTGGGGGTGCACCAGGGCCCCCGGGGCCGTAACGAAAGTGCCAGCTGTTGCTGTCGATGCCGGCACCCATCGGGGGCGAAACCTCTCCTCCTTCAGCATCTGTAAGAAACATAAAAATGGAAAATCAAATACTGCTTTATTATTGTTTTTTAAAAGGTGTGCCATTTATTTTGAAAGGATCACATAGGTGGTGTTTGTACATATTTAATAATAATAAAAAAATGTTCCAATGATATATATTTTAATAAATGTATGCTTTTAAGTCCCTATTTGTAGTTTATACATTTTCATTTTATTTTAACTACAGACTGTCTATACTTTCAACAAGTAAAACATATTGTATATGTTTATATTTGTTTAGTCTTTTTAGAAATTATCATCATATAGAGCTCACAACTGTACTGCAATGTTTAAGCTTACAGCAAATGCTTTTTGGGAATCAATCTCACCTTGTATTTGTGCAATAAGCTGCAACTATATATATATAGAGATATAGATATAGATAGATAGATATTTAAATGCAGAAACATGGATTTCTAGAGAAAAAAAAAACACTTTGCTAAAATAAGACCTTGGTAAAAGATAATAGATGAGTGATTGATTTCCCACAGTCCATGTTTCATTGTCAGAAACAAAAATGGCAAATATAAGAAGATAAACTTTTAATTTAATGTAAATATTTCAAAAAGGAGTTGGGACAATGAATTAGACTCTATCATATCTAAAATGAGCATCCAGATTAGTTTTTTAAACTCCATTTTTTCATGTTAGTGTACAGAAAATACACTTTTCATAATTAAGTAGGACACATTTTAAATATAAAGCAGAAACTGCAATTCTTTCAAACTGCATATTAGCTGTATGAAACCTCATACACTGTCAGTGACCAAACACTTCTTACTGTGTTTGCAGATTTTTAGTCACATTTAAATAAGCAAAGTTAAATGTATCTCGCACAAAAGGTAGAATTAAAGGACACAGACCTAACATGGAATTATTAGTCATTTTCAGGTATTAACTGTATTTTGGTTGGTACACACAAGCATCTAGACCATACGCCAAGGATTAATCAGTGTCAGAGTCCATAAGATTACAAACATGAATTAAAAAAAATAAATAAAAAATCCCTCAAAGCATTGACCTACTTGCCACATTTTCCCTCACATTTTCCTTTTGCTTCTATGGTTCCTTCTCCAAGCTTTCTTACCAAAGGGGAGATTAATAGAAGACATCTCTATTCAACCAGATGAAAACCATGCATGATGAAAGAAAACTGGCGTCAAGCATTTCCCTGGGCAAATATGTCCATCTTCTGGTAATGTTTTAACTTTATTTTATTTACTTTTTAAATTACAAATCAAGATCAGACTTCTAAAGATCAGATTTAGTTTACTTTTAGGTATCATGCATTAAATGGACATACGAATGGACAAAAAAAAAAAAAAAAAGATGTAGCAGTACAAGAACCATGTTAATATACAATAAAACAGTTTAGTAATTGTGTGAAATATTTATTTGTTTTTGTGTATCTATTTTATTGTTTTGGCACAAAACTGCAAAATGCTGAAACAGATAACTCTTTTAAGTCAATCTTTTGGAATTCCTGGGATTTTAAGAAGTATAATCTTGCAATTTGCATAAATGTAATTGATATATATATATATATATATATATATATATATATATATATATATATAAATAAATACAACCAATATGTGTTTAAAGTGTGTCACACATTTGGGCTGTTCCATATGGATTTTCCTCAAATTAAAAAAAAAAAAGGAAATAATAATAATTTATTTAACTAATAGTAGAAATGAAGAGCTGAGATTCTACAGCAGGATAGGCTAAATCCAGACAATGCTTTCTTGATATTTAAATGCAGTGACAGGGAAAATGTAGACTCATTTAGAAGATAAAAGTATTTTCTCAAAGGAAAACTCCTCATTTTACTCCTCTTGAGCTTTGAAGCTGGTTTTGCTGCACATATGAAGCAAAAACAAAATGGATGCAGCAGTAAAACAAATGAGATCACCTATACTGAAGTGCTTGCAGGGCTTTGCTCTGATGTGCCCCATCCTCTTGCTTCTAAAATATTACCTAAGTAAATGTGAGAAATTGATTAGGCAGCGGTGCCTTATGTGCAAAGTTGCAGCAATAAATATAATTATACTCCAGAGAGTGATGAGTCATGCTGAAAGCAGACAGATGGAAACGGAATAAGCAGGAAAGAGTAGTGCATATGGAAAGGGAGAGTGTTTTGTGTTGTTTAAAATATGAAACTTTTTTTTTTTTGTCAAAATGTGTTTAACTTTGATGTAAGTATAATAGTATGTGCATATATACAGTATATGCACTCTGCCCATCTATCTAACAAACACACATTTTAAGTATACTGATGTATTTTCTTGCTTTATCTTCTTTTTAGCTTCTTGTTTACAACTCCCCAGATACTAATAAAATCCCTTTCTCCCAACAGCAGTGTGATCTGCACACAAATGCTTTTCATTTTCGTAACGGTCTTTTAATGCCGCCGCTTGTTCCTCTGGCAGAACCATCTCTTTTCCTTTTTTTTTTCTTCCACCACCTCCCTCCCTTTTCAGATTATTCTGATTTCCTTTGACCTTTTGTCTAATCCAGCGTGAAAATGTTATCAGCCAACACCCTTCCCTCCCAGTTATTGACACAAGCCTTAATCATGCCCATCAATGTTTACGGTAACACCAATGTGATTGGGTTTTAAATCGCTTTCCCTTCAAAGATAACCATCAGGCACATTAGAGCTGCTATCTGTTTCATAGTTATGACTTCTCTCTTCACAGCAGGAGCTTATTTAACCCTGCTCCCCTGTGTGCAATCCTAAACAAAGCAATAACAATCAGTTACATTGCTTTACAGCCTATGAAATTTCCTGCATGCCCTCGTGAGTTTGATCTCTGATGTCATCAGTCCCGCTCCTCTGTGTGTCATTGTCTGCTTGCTCCCCTTGAGGTTTTCACACTCACTCAAGTCACCCAAGCTCCATTGTTGCCACGTCTTCTTAATTTATCTACTTTTCTTGCCCCACCATCAGCCTGTTTGGCTAATATCACAGTAGACTGCAGTGCAGCATTGCATAACTCACTGAGGAGGAGGAGGGAGAAGAAGAGGAGCCAGAAAGATGCAGCTATATTGCAAAATGAGAGGGAGGGAACAGAAGAAATAGACTTAAAGATCCTCAAGGTGTGTCTTTATACCTGATCTAAGAAGTTGTCTGCTGGTGTGCTGTGCACTCTGTGATCATGCTTATATTTTTTTCTAAAAAATAAAAGTTACAAACTCACTGCTTTGGCCATTTGGTGAAGAACTCAGCTGCGTGCCTTCATAAATTACTATATATTCCCAACTGCAAGATGTAGTGAACTGCAAAAATATAATACTTGTAAGTGTTTTTAGACAATCCAGTGATGTACGCATTTGTTTGGAGATGGTTTTATTTTTTTTATTTTTATTTTTTACATAATGCTGTTTGTCCACAGCTAGACCAGATGGTAGAAAAAAAAGTGATAGATAATCTATGATCAGTATTACATAGTCACATATGTGGGTGCTTGAATCTTTGTATGCACAGAATATCTTCTCTGTTGTCGCTGCAACGTTAAAAAACGAATTGTGAGAAGAGATTGATTCATCTTGAGTGAGAGAAACAGTGAGAGAACTGGCATGATATTTAAAGACATTGGCAGCACAGGATGGAACAAAGCATCAGCATGCTAATAAAGGAAACACACATTCTGACAAGAACGGGTAACAGATGGTCTGAATGGATTTTGAAATTGTGAGCAAAGACTCTGATTGATACTAAACTGCTCTACCTTACATTTATAATTGCACCACAAAATGTATTAATATTTTCACAGCTTTTAGTTGAAGTGTGCAGCTTGAAAATATTAATAATCAACTCTAAAGTCACATGTCCTTCCATTTCACACCTTTGTGTATACAAATTTAATAAAATAAAGATAAATCCACAAAAGGAAGAACTGAATATGAATTTATTTCATTGTGTTTTGAGACAGCAACATTTTGTTAGTAAGCACTTGCTGCCAATTATTTATGATTCTCTTCTACACAGTCTGCTGTATGTTTGCTATGCTTTTTCAAAGCAAAAAATAAAAAATAAAATAAAATAAAAAAAGATAAGTCTACATCCATATCTGCAATAGACTAACGCCCAAGTGAATGTAGGTCACTGCTGGTTTCTGACACCTCTCTTCTCCTTCTCTCCTTGAAACTTCAATCCTCATTTATCACCCTGCAAACATGTTTCTCATTTTATTTTTTATTGTTTCTTTGTTTTTTTACATCACAACCTCCTGGTCCTTATCAGCCTTTTCACATATAAAACATACATTTTGAGTGCCTCACATTTCATCTAATGTTACTGTTTAAATACCCCCCCCCCCCCCCCAACCACACACACACACACACCACCACCCTCATTTCCTCTTTTTGTGAACCTTTTGCCCTACGCCATAAGTTTGCACCCCCTCTCCCTCCCTCTATGTGCCCAATAACAGGGGTCATTAATGGTTGCCATGGAAACAACATCCTCTTGTGAATCAGTAGGATGTTAGTGGGAGTCATGGTGACAGTGCTTATGCTGATGGAGAATAATGCTGGGAGCATTTTCTTTCCCTTCCTTTCACGATGTCTGGTCCAACCACTCTCCCTTAGCAACAGCACCCCCCCCCCCCCCCCCCCCCCCCCCCCCCACCCCCTCACACACGCCTTGTCTCAGTCACTCACTCTTATGTACTCAGGTTGCCTTAAATACCCAAATGCCTACTGGTTATGCTGTTGTTTATTTTGAATGTTTTACCTCACAATTTATCAACCTCCCCCTGTCTGTTCCTATCAGGTTTTTTATTTTTTATTTGTATTTTTTTTTTAAAGTTTTGCACAATTCTCATTCAATTAGTGACCTTCAATCTAGGAGAATACACAAGGAGTGGTGAACAGGCAAGAAAGGGTAAATTAGAAACCAGACTGAACCATGATTTGACTAATGTGACTGCTAATCTGGGCGTGGGCTGCACACCATCTGGCATGGCAGGAGCAGGACACAGAACAGACAGACAAAACACACACACATAAACACACACTCATTCATTGGAGCCACAGCAAGACAAAGAAAGGTGCATACAGGATAGGGCAGCAACATAAACACACAACTCACTACCAGCTCACAAATATTCAGGTTCTACATGAGGACAAAAAAAAATAAATAACATGGGCGTTGTCAGCCCATGTGTCTCAATAAAAAGAGACAGCAATCTCTAGGTAAACTGCAATAGAGCTGAAAACATGAATTCAATGAAAGTGACCTAAAGAAGAACAAATGACAAACAAACTAGAGGACGTGGTATAAGTAGCACAGTCTGTGACTTGTGGGGATCTGGCAGGTCACAGTGAATCAATAGCCTCATTTGTTTATCATCACTCAGATGCAGTGAACAGGATCAAACCATTCTCTTGTCTGTAGATCTACATACATGTTTTAATTTATTTGACATTCTTGGTCCTGAATGACTGTTTATCCAACCCTAAAATTTACCATGAAGCTAATGTAACCTGCATGTTTTATTTTGATTCTTATCTTGAACAGCATTCATATAAAAAAGGGAACGGTCAGCCCTCATGTTAGAAGCAGTTTTAGCGTGTGCACAGCATGTTGCCTCTAATGACGATGGCAGCCAGATGAGACCACCTCACATCCTTACAAGCCAGTCTTCTTTTTACTGACCTGCCCTGAGGACATCACTGCTGTCTGTCCTGTTCTCTCCATCATCCGTGCTGTTTTGTTTTTCTCTCTACCATTCTATCACTCATGTTCTAAAGTGCCCACAAGCTGCAAGTCCTCAGCCAAGGAAAATCAATGGAAGGGTGGAGGAGGCTGCGTGCATGTCAGTGTGGATAGGAGGAGACAGTTGTGGGTGTGGATAGTTTATGTCTTGTCTAAGATGGACACCAGACTGGTCCAGCACAATGGTTTCAGTCACCTGTTTACCATAAGCTAATATAATATATAGTATGTGTCTAATGACCCCTTATTCTTATCTGCTTAAACCATATAATTTTCTAATTCATTTTGAATCCTTTTTGACCCTATTTTCATACCACCATGAGAACAACTGACTGTTAAAATTTCTTTTTTTTTAATACGGTTTATGCAGCCTATAATATATTGTTAAAGGGCAGCGCATATGTCAGCATACTATGACACTGTGTTGCCTGTATGAGGGTCTTTACAACTGGGTAACAAAATAAAATAAAATCAATACAACATGTTTCAATGAAGTGTCGAGCGTCCACATGCTTCTTGAACATCTTCAGTGTATATTGAACTTATAAGTCAATTGAACTAAAATAATCTAAAATCTTTTTCACTAAAGGCTTTGTTTCTTTTTTGTGTTTTAATACTGATTTAAGAGTGACATGTGGGTAAATGCATTGCCAGCTTTGAGTAAACAACTCGTGTCAACATAAAAATTATTTCATATAAATTATTGTAATTGACGATAACAATTTTCTCAAATGGATCTGAGCTACACCAGCTCACTGAAAGCCACAGTATAACTCCAATAAGTAACAATTTGTCTGAAAATAAATATCAAATGTCTTAGAGGTTTTGTTTTTGTTCCGTTGTTGCTGTTCTGACAATCCATCTTGAGCTATTTTCCAATATTGTAAAGCAGTGGCGATATTAGCTTCTTTTTGGGGGTGCTCAAGCACCTCTAAATTTTAACTCGGCACCTCCTGAAAAATAAAGTAAAAAAAATAAAAAAAAACATAGGAAAACTTGGTTTATTTACATAATGAGTTTAACTGCTGAATGTCCGGTCCCTGACCTGCTGGCTTTCAGTAACTGTGCCCCCCTGAGCAGTTTAATTGAATAGCCCTGCTTTAGAGGGTGGAATACAGTTTATTCAATTTCCACAACCTAAACCGACTCTGCAAAAATGTAAAAGATGATAAAGACCTGTGGCCGACCTCATGAGCAGCTGAAAATGGCAGTGATAAACATGAAGTGCCACATGTTCATCTGTACGAAGATAACTGCAAGTAAATCTTCCATTCTCTGTCATAAATACATTGTATGCTTAATAGTTAAATTAAAAGTTCATGCTTAAAGGTAGTTGTGCTTTTTGTGTGTTTTAAATGTAGATAAATGTTGTTACTTCTGGTTGCACAAGTTTAGTCTTTGTTTGTTTTGATCAGTCAATACTAAACTGGTTTTGTACAAAACATGTATTAGGTTGTGTAATGTAAATCAGAGTGCTACGTCTGTAGCATCTTAGCTAGCCCGTCTGTATTGCACGCCACGAGCGTAGCGCTACTTCTTGTGCCGAGCTCTCTAAAATAGTTATTGAATCAAGTGTTTACTTATGTAGGTAAATGTAGATGTTTAACAACCTGTTAAAATACACCAGAATGCAGGAAATGTTTCCCACTGGGTTGTGACAGTTGAAGTATTGATGGTAACTCAAAAGTTACTAAATATTTCATTAAAATTGACTAATCTGTTGTTTCAGACTCACATAATTCTGAGTTACTGCAACAACCTGATTAGCAGGCTTCCATGCTGTATTCTAGGTGAAGAGTTTTTGAAAATCAGCCTATTTCTGTATGCATTACTTACGCATTGTTATTCTAGGCAATGCGCACTGTTGCACTGCCTGCCTACATCATACCCACTTCAGCTCATGTTTTACCCACCTTGGCAGCTGCTATACATTTATAATTTAATCTACTGGATTGCACTTTTGAAACTAAAATATAATATATTGGATCAGTTATTCAATAACTATTATTTACAATGAATGTGTTTTTTAGGCCTGTAAATGTTTTCTGTCAAAAAAAAAAAGCTCTTTCTAGGAGTTAAAATACAGGTTTTACACTCTTGGGATGGGTTGGAGACATCCTGGCCCATGTGGATAAACTAGTTTAAAATGTTATCTGTAAATAAAACTTTTTTTTTTTTTTTGAGAGCTAACATCAATAATGACAATATTAATAGTTGTTTGTTGTTGTTAAAAAAAGACAAAAACATAAAACATTAAAAGCAGATCACATTTAATAGTGCCGATATTCTGAAATCTGATATCTAGTGTTTGTTCTTTGTTGTTCACTGATTTATGCCTCAAACAGTTTAGTAATTTAATCAAATACTTTTTTTTTCTCTCTTCCCTTCTCTTTTCTCTGTAATCTATCTCTTTGCTACAGAGCTGAGATATCTATCTCCACCTACGCAGCATGTGTCGTTTCCTCTGCTTGCAGCAGTGGAAAGTGGTAAGAATAGTTTGAGGCGATGTCGTATGTGATATCTCAGTTATTCCTCTCTTGCAGTTTTATAGGCTCTTGAGGAATCTGAAGTTACAGAACAAGGATAGTTTTACTTTCTACTCTGTGAAACTGTGTTGTGGAAGTTGTTGGGTTCTTTAAACAATACGCTAACTCTTCTTTAAGTCATTTAGATCCAGAGTATTTCTATGCTTGTCATGTTTGATTTTCAACAGCCAGCTTTTAAATCAGTTGCATTAGGTTTTAATTGACATTATCTTGACAAACTCTTACCAGCAGCACTGGATGCAGTGGGCCAGTTCTGTACCAGGACACCCTGGGCTCCCTGCATGACAGAGGACTCTTCCATGTGCACTGAACTGAAATAATAAAAACACACATCAAAATGTTGAAAAATCAAAAAAAGGCCTCTTGATCCATGCAAAATGTAAAGAAACAACAACAAAAAAAAAAAAAAATAACTGGTTTAAATGTACAAAAATATACACTTTGCTATCCCAATGTTAACACTACATAAGGCTTATACATTATATATATACACCAGTGTGTGTGTATGTATGTATGTATGTATGTATGTATGTATGTATGTATGTATGTATGTATATATATATATATATATATATATATATATATATATATATATATATATATA